ATGGACTAACAAACTGTTAGTTCCAGAATAACATGTTACACTATAACATCAGATGACATCATAGCCGCCCTGGGTTAAAGCCTCGCTCTGTTGAACCCACTTTTGACAGGACAGAGTTTGACATTTGAGATCACTGGTCAGAGGTCGGAAAAGTGTGGGTCATGTCCCTCGGGGGGCAGTGGTGACAGGGCAAATGTGAAAAATCACAACTGTGTTGCTGCATTAGCTGTGACAGTGTCAATGTCGGGGGCGGAGGTCGACAATGGTCCTATTCACAAAAGTCACAGCCAGAGCAATGTTGAGAAACCGTTGTACTAGACTAAATACAGCACAGAATGTGATGTCATCAGTGAAACTAGGTGAGCTCCTGGTGCTTCCCTGGAATTATTTATCTTGGTGGGACATGTTCATCTGTAAAATAACATGTACATGAGGTCATTTCTGCTCTTTTCAACGTCTTCCCTGAAACTAATCAGCATCAACTCCTCGGGGCAAAAACCAGGATGTGAATCAGTTAGGTAAATTAGCAGCTTCGTGTTGTAAAAGCTGTGATTTTAATCCAAAAGAAACACACATGCTGTGTGGAGTCACAGCCTTGTTGAACTTTATATGAATTCATTTGACCTGTTTGACAAACATACATAATACAATATAAAACAATATTTTACTTACTTCAAATTAAAGTAAAGTCAAATAATGAAAACAGACTTTAATGAAAACTTTTTACCTGATATCAGAGCAGCGTCATCCTGCAAATAAAAAATTCTTTATTCTTTATAAAAACCCAATATCTTTAACATTATGTGGTCTACTACATACATTAAGGTGGTATATCTGGCCCAGTTCTGGGCCATAAACCTAGGTCAAAATGACAGGATTGACATGTGGTCTTTGGCTCTTCAACAGTCTGAGTATGGACACTGGATGAAATGACGCGTATTCCGCATATATAATGTTTTCTGTAGCTAATGTAAAAATTTCGGATGAGTGTAAAACCTAAGACAGCTTGGATGGTTTATTGCCGGTTCGCCACATATTATGTATGTCACCACCGGGCGTCATTTCCTGTGCTGTTGTTGTATTCCGTCCAGCTCACTGCTGTTTACTTTGGCCACCTCTTTCTCAAACTGCTGCCGAATTTGGTGCTTCATGTCATGCTCTGCAGGAGCAGTGATTTACGAGGGAGTTGACTTCTGAAGGGCTTCAGTTAAAGTTTCATTGGTTTTCGTCATTTTTCACAGCAGATGATTAATTATGCCTTTGCGATGCAATTCGGCGTTTTATTTCGGTCGTTAAACTTAATTCCGCGGCACTTTGCTTCATAAGAAAGTCTCAGGGATTGAGTTTTTTCTCTCATGATGTCCGAGTGGGCAAACGTAAGCTGCTGTGAGCGTTGATTTGACGGAGGTGAAGACGTGAAGCTGCTTCTTGTATGGGCGTTGTTGGGGGGAAGAGGAGCAGAGATGAAGGAGAGTGTGGGAATGAGAGGTTTCAATGACAGTTAAAAAGTACAGACGGAGGGAAATGAAGAG